GGTCCCTTCCAACCCAAACAATTCTATGAGTATATACTGGAAGTGTTCGAAGTCAGGCTGGGTGGGGCTTTGAGCAACCTGATTTAATGGAAGATGTTCCTGCCCATGGAAGGGAAGTTGGACTAGATGGTCTTTAAAAGTCCCTTTGAGTCCAAACCCTGCAGTCAAGCATCACACCCAGGGTTTTGTCCCCCCAGTAAAACAGCAGCATCCGGCCATGCCATGCCCCTGTACTCTGCACTGGTGAGGCTGCACCTCAAATACTGTGTTCAGATTTGGGTCCCTCACAAGAAGGACATTGAGGTGCTGGAGCGTGTCCAGAGAAGGACAAGGGGAAGCTGGGGAGGGGTCTGGAGCACAAGTCTTATGAGGAGCGGCTGGGGGAACTGGGGTTGTTCAGTCTGGAGAAGAGGAGGCTGAAGGGAGACCTCATCGCTCCCTGAAAGGGGGTTGTGGTGAGGTGGGTGTTGGTCTCTTCTCCCAAGTAACCAGCGATAGGACAAGAGGAAATGGCCTCAAGTTGCACCAGGGGAGGTTTAGATTGGATATTAGGAGAAATTTCTTTACTGAGAGAGTCGTCAAGCATTGGAACAGGCTGCCCAAGGAGGTGGTGGAATCACCATCACTGGAGGTGTTCAAAAAACGTGTAGACATGGCACTTTGGGACATGGTTTAGTGGTCATGGTGGTGTTGGGTTGATGGTTGGACTTGATGATCTTCAAGCTCTCTTCCAACCTTAACACTTCTGTGATTCTGTCAATGTCTTTTGCAATCAGTGCTCTCAATGCCCCAACACTGGCCCTGCCCTGCTCCACCCTGGAGGCACGTGGGATGCTGCAGGTGGGGGGTGGTCCAGGGATATGGGGTGCCCTCCAGCCGTGTGCCCACCTACTTCTCTCTCCATAAAAGCAGGCAACTCCAGCTCAGCTGACTTGCGGCTGGTGGACGGGCCGCACCCTTGCGCCGGGAGGGTTGAGGTGCTCAACAGCGGGCAGTGGGGGACAGTCTGCGATGACGGCTGGGACCTGAATGACGCGGCGGGGGGGGGCCGGCAGGCGGGGCGGACGCGGCGGTGGTGTGCAGGCAGCTGGGCTGTGGCATGGCCATGGCAGCCCCCAGCCGGGCCCGCTTTGGGCAGGGGATGGGGCGCATCTGGCTGGATGACGTGGCCTGCACTGGGAGTGAGGACACTCTCGCCCAGTGCCAAGCCCGTCCCTGGGGACAGAGTAACTGCCACCACAGAGAAGATGCTGGCGTGGTGTGCTCAGGTACATCCCTCTCCTGCAACACGGGGTGTCCATCCTGCATCTCGCTGCCTCCAGGGTGACTCTGCAGCAGGATGGTCAGGCCCTTCCTTGAGTGAGGGGGCCTTTCACCCCAGCCCCAGGCACTGCCACCAGCACCATGTCCCCAACCCATCATGACATTTCTGCAGTGATTCCAAATGCTGTTGCAACCAACACAACTGTCCGCCTCATGAACGGCCCGCATCACTGTGCCGGGAGAGTGGAGGTCTTTCACAACCAGCAGTGGGGGACGGTCTGCGACGACGGCTGGGACCTGAACGACGCGGCGGTGGTGTGCAGGCAGCTTGGCTGTGGCAGGGCCACGGCAGCCCCCAGCCGGGCCCGCTTCGGGCAGGGGACGGGGCAGATCTGGCTGGATGACATGAGCTGCACCGGTAGCGAGGAAAACCTTGCCCAGTGCCAAGCCCATCCCTGGGGACAGAGTAACTGCCACCACGGAGAAGATGCTGGTGTGGTGTGCTCAGGTATATCCCATCCTGCGATACAGGGCATCTGGCAGTGGGGGGCAGGAGGGTCTATCCCACATCTGGCTGCCTCTGGGGTGATGCTAGCCCTGGAAAGGCATGTTTTTTTGGGGATGGCAGCTGGCAAAGGGTCATAGCCTCTTTTTGGCCAGGCTTCTCCCCAACCCAGCAATAGGTTCCCACCCCAGTCATAACAAGCATCTCACTGAAACCTTCATCCCCCGCCTCGTGGCACTAAGTGAGCCAAGCCCTGTCTCGAGGGGACCAGCCAATCCCAAATCCTCAGCCTGGTCTCCATTGACTGGTTCACATGCTTGCATGGAGGAGAAACCACTGTTTTAGAGTAGAAAAGTGCAGTTGAAGCCCATCCCCAAGGCCAGACTTCTCCAAAAGGTTTCGGGGGTTGCATCCCTCGCTGGGGAGGGGACCATAAGGACTCTGTATTCGCACTCTGGCTTCTGGTTTGGGGATTTTCATTTGTGAGGTGATGGATGCCCTGTTCTCCTTTCCTAACTGGATTTCTCCTGGCAGATGCCAACATCACGGATGAGGCGCAGGTCCGTTTGGCTGACGGCCCAAATCGCTGTGCCGGGAGAGTGGAAGTGCTTCATGAGCAGCAGTGGGGGACCATCTGTGATGACAGCTGGGATTTGAAGGACGCCAAGGTGGTCTGCCGGCAGCTGGGCTGCGGGACCGCCGTGGCAGCCCCAGGCCAAGCTCACTTCAGGCAAGGGGTGGACCCCATCTGGCTGGATGACGTGGAGTGCACTGGCATGGAGACTGCCTTCTCCCAATGCCGCCTTAGCAGCTGGGGACTCCATAACTGCAACCATGAGGAAGACGCGGGAGTCGTGTGCTCAGGTAGTCCCCAGTGGGTGGTGAACGCTCAGATGCCCCAAAAAAGTATTTTATCTGGGACTAGGAGGCTGGCAGCACTGGTGGGACATCAGTGATGGGAATGACCTTGCAAGGGAGCGGGGGGGGAATGGTGCAGCAGGTACAGGCAGCACATGACATGCACGCACACCTTTGCACGCGCACGCGCCTTGCACGCCCCTCTCCATCTACCTGTGGGGTCCCTCACCCGCTTTGTTTCCCCTTGCAGGCACAAACCCCTTGCAGGTGCGGGTGAAAGATGGTCCCGGTCCCTGCGCGGGGCAGGTGGAGGTGCTCTACAACGCTACGTGGCATGGGGTGTGCAGCAGCGGCTGGAGCTTGCTGGAAGCCGGGGTGGTCTGCAAGCAGCTGGGCTGCGGGCCAGCCCTGTCAGCACCCAGCGGAGCCCAGCTCAGCCCGGGGGGCGGCCGTGCCTTGCTGGAGGGGCTGAGCTGCCGGGGGACAGAGTCGCTGCTCCTGGAGTGCCAGCAGAGAGAGATGGGGCTGGGGCCGTGCAGGCAGGGCTCGGCAGCCAGCGTGGTGTGCACGAGGCCAAAGGGTGAGCACAGGGATCCTCTGTGGTGTCCACGCTGGGCTGGGCTGGAGGAAAAGGTCACAAAGCAGGAAGAAAGTGGAAAGGTGGCACATGTTAATCCCAGCAAGCTCTCGAGGGCCCTTCCTAGGGGATGGATCCCATTTTCCATCACCCTTGTGAGCATTGGAGATGCTTTCCCGATCCCAAAACACACTCATCCCTCCCATTTCTTCTTGGAGCCCAAATTTCCTTATGCTCCCCAGCCCAAATCCTCTGGGCTCCCTCCAGCACCAGCCCCCATTTCCTACTAAGTGGTGGTAGAGCTGGGACAGTTTTGAAGGATGGAGGAGGGTCAGAACTAGGCCTGTGTGAGACGTAGCACCCTGAAACCAAAGGGGGACAACACACCAGAGAGCTGATGCAGATTTTAAGAGCAGCAGGAACATGGAAGTTTGCTCCGACCTCCCTGTTCCATCACCCAGGGAAACGGGTCTTAAATGCAAAGCCTAATTAAGGAAAGTCCATCTTCAGCACCAGCTGAGCTGCTGGGAGGGGTCAGGCCATCTTCGGCGTTAGGTTTTCTTGCGCAGCATTACTGGTCTTGGCTGGAAATGGGATCCTGAGTCTACTTCCCCCCCACCCTGCCAACCCCAGGCGCTTCCCCATCCTGCTCGGTGCTGATAGCACTGCTGGCCCTGGTGATGCTGCTGAGCGGGGTCCTGCTGTGGCTTAACCTGAAGAGGAGGTGCATGGCAACAGCCCAGGCTGGAGGTGACAGTCCCATCCCTGTGTCCTCCCACCCCGCCAATTCATGGTCCCTGCTCTGGCCACCCCAAAACCCAGGGGGATGCAGAGACGGGGCTCAGCTCAGCGGCTCCCAGATCCCGGTGACAACCCAGTGTCCCCTCCATCTCACAGCCCACCGGCACTCTGGCGACCAGGACACTTCAGCGATGTCCTTCCAGCCCACAGGGGCCATCTACCTCCCCACCAAGGCAGAAGACCCCGAGGATGCTGACACCGAGACAACACAGCTCATGAGAGAAGATGCTGCCCCATGATGCCAACCCCACCCAGGCTTGTGCCCCAGGGTTGCACCAGGCTCCCACTGCCCCCACTTCTCCCTAATCCTCTTTCCTGAAGACTGTAAAGCAACAGCTGATGGGCAGGACATTTCAAAACACGCCGGTATGAATGACTTGTATCAGGAGCCCCGAAATAGCTGGTCAAGGTGGGTCTCCTAGCCTGGTGACATTTACTTAACCCACCTTGGCACCCTCTGGGCAGCCCCCACAGCTCCGGAGGAGCTTGATGAACCTGGCAGCGAGTGCAAGGCTGAGCTAAAGGAGCAGAAAAGCAGAAGGAGGGGTGCAAACGAATTAAAAGGGGGTCGCCAACCCTCTAAGTGTGATGGGCATGAGTTCCAGGGTAGGGAATGAGCTGCTTTTGTGCTCCTCTTCCATGGCTTCCCCCAGGCCTTGGATGGAGGCAAATGCCCCCATTTCCTGACCATCCCAGGTGCCAGAGCTGCAAAGCACTTTTACCCCACAACCCCAATACTCAGCCATTCTCCCTGGATGCATTTTGGGGTGACCACAGAGCCCCATTTTCCTTGCTCCATGGCCCCAACCTGTGACCATCCCTTGGGAACCCAACCATGGGGGATGCTCTCTGCTAAGGCTCCCAGGGGCATAGGACATGCTCTTGCCTGGTAGCTCGTGGTTCCCCACTGTTACCCCATACCTAAAAGCATCCCAGTGCAGAGGGACCCCGCTCAGCCTCGCCCCAGGGTCCATCAAGCTTGCAGACTGAAGATTGTGCCCACAAAGCACCTGGGATGATGAGAGGGAGGCCAGGAGACCCAGCGAGCAGAGGTCCCAACAGCAGGAGATGGCATCTGTGGAGGCAAGTGATGCCTTCCTTGCCAGAGAGGAACACAGGTACATTGTGCCCAGTCCTCTCTCCACCTTCCACAGGGATGAAGGACATCCCAAAACTGGGAAAGGTGCAGAACCAAAGGTCTCTCCATGTTTTTCCTTCTTCCTGTGATGCTTCAGAGGGGCTGGAGAGGAAGGTCCCAAAATTACGAGCAAAATCAGAATCAGGGTTGATAACATTCAGCAATAAACTGAAAGCCCTCCATGTGAGCGCCTGTGCTCTTCACCCCAGGTGAAGCTGTTTCCTAGATTCTGCCTGAGAAACTCCAGGAGCTCACCAGGTGCTGGAGGAAACCACTCAAGATGGATTGGAAAAGCTGGACAGCACCAGCATGGTTCCCCAGGTCATGGCTGAGAGGGGAGCAGGGGGTGTGCAGGACATTCAAGCAGCACAAAACCTGAAATAATTTCCTCCAGCAGTGAGGCCACCCGCTTCCTTGCCAACTACCAAGCTGGTGTTAGCCATGTCATCACTCAGTGACCTTATCCATTGCTTGGTGACCATCATGACTTGGTGATCACGCAACACATGATCCCAGCACATGAGAAAAACCTCAATTCTGAAACAGGCATCTCTGGGAGCAGCCACCCTGGGGCTGGAACCACCAGAGATGGTCCTCTCCCCCCATCTGAAATGCAGATCAGGAAGGTAAACCTCCCTTTGGCCTCCAGGATGCCAAAGGATGGCGATCCCACAGGGCAGAATGCCCATCAAAGGTTGGGGCTTGTCCAACCATGAGAACAGAGTCTAGCTCCCACCTACCTAGTGCCACCTGAGATGCCCTCAATCACCCCAGACACTCAGAGGGGGGCTGGCATATAGGATATATGGTCTATAAAGAGATGCAAGCACTCCTGGAAGAAGAGCTGAGGGCCTACTGGGTACCCCAGATCATCTACGATGGCCTCAGCAGTTGAATGCAACCTCGGATGTCCATCAGATATTTGGAGTGCTTGATTGGGGTGCTCCTACACAGGCAACACACATCATTGGAGGTGCCTTCAGGTGTGCAAGATACCTGCAGAGGCAAAAATGTGACATGGAAGAGACCTGGAGTGATGTAAAAGACACCAGATAGGCAGCCACCTCCTGCCACGAGCACCAACAGGTGTCCTACAAATCCCCTGTTCCCAAGCTTTTCCTCTTTCATGAGAATCCCCCCTCTGCTTAGGGCCACGAGTTAAAGGAGAAGGTGAGTTTGGGTGGGATATGGCCCAAAGGGAGCTGCCTCTGCTCCTGGGGTTGGGGTGAAGGGGCGCCCACCACTACAACACACATCACGTAGGTCCTTCATGACCAATACGACATCACCAGCATCTCACCACACCTTAAAGGGTGAAGGACCACCATCACCAGAGGCAGTCTGTTCCCAGGGCTGCAGGTGCAACCTCCCTTCCCCTGAGACATGTGGACACAGCAGATCCCAGAATGGGAACCTGCTGAGAGGTGTCCACCACCAGCTGGGAGTGGACAGATGTTCAGGGACAGGCTCAACCCGAAAGCCAAATCACAACCTCACAACCAGGAACAGCATTTCGAAGAAGCCAGAGACACCCCAGTGCTGTCTCAAGGGCTGAAATGGGAGGAAGTTGGGAAGCTGGGGGGCAGCAGAAAAGACCAAGATGACCAGGAAGCCCACAGCCATCCTTGCAGGAAGATCCACTAGCCCAAAGCCCAAAAGCATCTTGATGGCCCATCTCACACCCAACTTCTGCAGGGTACACCCAACATCTGCTATGTAAGATCTGCCTTGCACCCAGGATTTGGTGTGTCTCTCCTTACCACATCTGCCAGGTGACCTCCCACTCACATCTGAAGGATGCTGGGAGAAGGTACTGGGTGGGAAGGAGGCGAGAACACCAAGGACTGTACCAGCACCAAAAGCCCAACATGGCCACAAGCTGGAGGAGGTGATGAGATGGAGCCATCGTTAAATAACCATCATGTAATTAGTGTGCAGAGTGCCAAGGAGCACACACATTCCACCCCCCGTTCCCAGCGCTACAGGGACCGTACGAAAAGGGGAGATGGGGTGGGAACCGAGATCTCCAGGAGTCCAAGGAGCACAAGGGCACCAGCGCAGGTGAGTACAGGACTCCTGTCTCACCCTCACAAGCAAAGGTCCATGTGCCACCCTCTGCCCAGCAGCCAGCAGCCAAGGGGGTACAAATCCAGGCTCTAGCACCAACGCAGGGGCAGCTCTGGGAAGCAAGAGAAGAGGAGGAGGAGGAGGATGCAGAAGGCTGGTTGTGTCTTGCTTGCCCATACTCCATCCAGGTTCCTGCCTGGGAATACTCAGGAGCGGTTGGAGGACTTAAAGCGCCAGGCATCACTTGCTGAGGCTCCCAAAGTGGATGGCAGCAGTGTGTGACTCCCCTTTCTTCTGCTCTCTACCAGCCCCACCAGCACACTGGGGCAGAAAGAAAGGGGGTGATTAACCAGGTCATTAGCAGCAGCATGAGATATGGACGGGACGCCTGAACCCCAAAAGGCTTCAGGGGAAAAGGGAGGTGCTGGCTCTTCCTCATAATCCTTTCCGCTGACTGTACCTTTGTTGTATCTCCCTCTCAAAAAACTGGCAGGTCTGTCTCCTCCTGCAGGCAACAGCGTGCCCGGACTGCCTGGGAGCCCCCAGCCCAGGCTGAGCCACGCTCACTGAGATGACTGGGGAAGGGGATCTTGGGATGACTTGAGGCGGGGCTCAGCCCTCCTCCCTACACAGGGGCAAAGAAGAGGGCTCCTGTCTGCCCAGCAGCAGTGAGCCGCAAGCCATGGCATGCCAAAAGCCACGCGATGCCTGCCAGGAGCTTGCAGCCGCCCTGGCCCACCGGTTCATGGAGGGTCATGCTGGGATCACAACCCATGGAGGGAGGAGGAGAGCATGGCACGGGTCCAGGTTTGGCGAAAGGCTGGGGCTCAGGAAAAGCACCACAGCTTTTCGGGGGTCCGCACCAGTCCTCGGGTGCATGTACAGGGTCCCCCAGCCTGGGGCTCATCTGCTGTCGGTGGTGGCGTGTCGACAGCACACTTATGGCCACCACGGCTTCGAAACACCGGAGCTGCGCCTACCGTGCTGGGGCTCAGCCGTCACGGTGCACGCGCTGGTGTTGCAGCAGATTGGAGGGGTGAGCGAAGCCCTTATCACAGACACTGCATTTGTAGGGGGTCTCACCCGTGTGCACCTTCTCGTGCACAGCCAGGTAGGCCAAGTCCTTGAAGAACTTGTGGCAGAAGCTGCACTTGTAGGGTCGCTCCTGGCTGTGCACACGGTGGTGCTGGAGGAGCAGGGAGGGCCGGGCAAAGGCCTTCCCGCATGCCTCACACTTGTAGGGACGTTCCCCCGTGTGCGCCCGCTCGTGGATCACCAGGTAGGATGACTGCTTGAAAGCTTTCCCGCAGGTTTTGCAGACAAAGGGGCGCTCACCGGTGTGCACCCGCTCATGGGAGGAGAGGGCATTGGACTGCTTGAAGCCCTTGCCACAGAGCGGGCAGACGAAGGGGCGGTCACCCGTGTGCACCCGCTCATGCACCTTGAGGCTGTGCCCGTAGGTGAACTTCTTACCGCAGACCCCGCAGACGTGGGGTTTGTCGTCACAGTGCTGGCGTTGGTGGAGGAGGAGGGCGTTGGAGGTGGGGAAGTCTTTCCCGCAGTCAGCACACTTGAAGGGCTTCTCGGCGCAGTGGGTGAGCGCGTGGCGCTGCAGCTCGTAGGGGGTCTTGAAGCTCTTGGCGCAGCGGGGGCAGCGGAAGGGACGCTCGCCACTGTGGATGCGCCGGTGCTCTTGGAGGTTGGAGGAGCGCTTGAAACGCTTGCCACAGAGTTCACAGCGGAAGGGTCGTTCCTCCGTGTGGACCAGCCGGTGGCTTTTGAAGTCCGAGTGGCGCTTGAAGGAGGCCTGGCAAAGGTCGCAGCGAAAGGGACGCTCCTCATTGTGTACCACCTCGTGGCTGAAGAGCTCCCAGGCCCGCTTGAAGGCCTTCTCACAGACGCCGCACTGGAAGGGCTTCTCATCCACGATCACCTCACGGATCTCCAACTCGCTGACACTGCTCGCTCCCTGCTTCGGGTGGGCCGGCAGCCCCACTGCTGCCTCCTCCAGCTCACCCACCGCACTCCCCAGCA